ATATATATATATATATATATATATATATATATATATATATATATATATATATATATATATATATATATATATATATATATATATTTATTTATTTATTTTTTATTTATTTTTTTTTTTGCCTTTGTTTATAGGACAGTATGTGGGCAAAGGTGGAGAAATGCAATTGGGAAATGTCCACAATCCAGGATTCGAACTTAGAACCCTCAATGTGCAGTTGCCCTGATCACGAGTATCTCGGCATTGACAAATATAAAATATTTTGAAATACCAGAAACAGAATCAAAATTGCCTAAAATACTTTGTTCAAAAGCCAAATAATTCATGTTCAAGGGCAGTGATGCTGCATGGGAGAACCCCTGTGTCGGATTATATTTGAAGTCAACATTGTCCTGCTTTGACCCATTCTGTGCAGTCCAAGCAACACTCTTAAAACCAATCATGAAACCACATGTCCATCTGCTCCACCACAACGCCCTTATTTAACACGCGTCCACAACAATACCCTCACCATCTGTGCCATTACTTTAGATCTCTAAAAGCAGCATCTGCAGCCATCAGGTGTTGTAATGCCAACAGCCAGCGGAACCACAACCAGCATCCCTGGAGATGGACATGACTCCCCTAAATGTTCATTCAAGCATGAGTGTTAAGCCACTAATGTAGTTTAAGACATTGCAAGAAAGGGTGGGGTGAGAGATGTCATTCATGAGTGTCTTTCTGTTAGTGTAGTGATATAACCAGCTGCTGTCACAGTGCACTGTAAGCCGTCAGAAATCCTTCTATGCCACATTTAATGATCAGAGGTTTGATGACATGCAGTGTCACACGCTGGCAGACATCAACAGCCTCATTATATGTGGGGACCTACTGCTCAGTAGCGTCAGATTAGATTTGTGAGGGTCATTAAAGAAGGTGGTTCTTATGAAGCCTTTGAACCAGCTGCCATTCATTTGCGAGTTTAAATGAAAAAAATGTACTAGGCTTTCAACTACAAGAGGTTATTTACGTAAACGAAGGACTATCTGACCATAAGTGATTAAGGATATTGATTACTTCAGTTTCCTTTCATTAAAATAATCTTAGCACTTAAACGTCTTTATGCACTCTTCATGTTTACACCAGGAAAGCTTGATGGAAATGTATACTGGATATGGGAGATAAAAGGATATTGATTTAAAAAATCTATCGCTTTCAAAAGAAAATCTAATTTACAACAGAACAACGTAACAAGCGAGTAGTGGAGTGCTCTTGTTAACTGAAATTACAAGCATCTGAAGTTGATGTACATCAGTGACACACAGGCAAATAAAAACATCAGATCGCAACAATAAAAGTCACCTGAGATTTTAAAGCCAAAAGTCTTTACTCATGTGAAATAAAGGTATTTAATGGCATCTATTGTTCCAGGAAGAATTCTTAACATCCATGAAACACTTTCAAAGCACAATAGATTCTTCTGGAGGTTTTATAGGTCATTAAAATATTTCACTGAAAGAATCTCCCCTTTTTTTGTATGGTAATATTACTACGACTGCACAAAACTTTTCTCCATGGAAAACAAAGCTGTCAAGCTGCAATTTTGCTGGGTTTAAGTATAGAGAAACTACATTATTAAAATCTGAGCTCAGATCTCTGCACTGCACACAAGATTGTACTGTACACTTACACATATTCTACTTGTTAAGAAAAAACTCACCTAAGGCACAAAGTGAGCCAAGTTCATACTGAGGGGGGTTCATAAATAGATATGTTAAAGTGTGACAGAATACAATTAAAATATTGTATAAGCATAATTTTTGGCCTTCGTTGCTACCCACATTTATCTAAAGGACAGTGTAAAACTACAAATAATAATTTCTTTGAGTACAAATTAGCTGATGACTGCCCTCCAGCTCACATTCAACAAGCGAACATTACTAGTCACTTTTTTTCATTCAAACAAATGTGCACAGTTCACGCGCTTTCCAAAGACCAGCGCGCGTGAAAATGTCACGTCAACCAGTATTCCAGAGACCGCGCGTAGCATGGGTTTGAGGGGGAAAGAAAGAAGTGCTCGAAAATAAAACAAGGCACAAAAATAATGTCTTGCATGCACTGTACTGGAAATGTGGCCATGTAAAGTTCAACATAACCACCATTGCGTAACCAGACAGTAGAAAAAACGCACTCTTGACATGACATGCAGTGTTAAATCAAGGGATTCAGCACATAATGAAGTTTCTAATGTAAAAATGATAATAAAAAACCGAACTGTCCGATATTTAAAGAGACAGTGCACCCACTCTGTCTTTATACTATTTCAGACCAGTGTGAATTAAAATATTACAGCCTCATAATCATCATCAATCACTTTCATTTAATGCAAACAGAACCAAAAAAATGCGAATGGTTCTGTGCCAGAAAGTCAGGTCTGGATGAAAGTGATCGCATTAGCCAGTATGTGATGACAGGATTTCAAATCTTAAAAACTATTTCAAAGACGCACAAGCACCATTTGGTCCAGCTAAATCGGCGCGTGTAAACTTGACTTCTGTGAAGACATTAACGGAATCAATCCGTTATGTGCGTCCATTCAGACGTGTGGGAGTGCGGGTGAGAATACGTTTTCGATTTCACAGCCATGCCTAATACGTGCAATTATCTATACCCACAGGCCACAGGTTTGAATTTCACGCCTTTTTCCCTAAATGATAATTATTAGTCGGAAGACAGGCTTGAAAATGCACCTACCACCCCCATATCCATCTGCTCTGCTGTTATTGAAGGGGCAGCCCGAGTTTGAGATAAAAACCAAAGAACTGGAAAGAGAATCATCTCTGGGTAAATAATCCAAATGGTCCGAGCGGAATTCCACTTTCTGAGAGACTTCATATTGTCCCCCGCTCCCGGTTATCACAGAACGGTCTTTCTTTCCGCCGCATCCACGGTATAGATCACCCAAAGCCAGATCCCGGGCATTTAACGGTCCTCCGGAACGCGCGTCAGTCAAACTACCTCACTGTAGCGCGCAAACACGTGAAACACATATCACATTCACCAACATACAGGGCAATTAATTTCCTCAGGGATCTGTGTCTCCAAGCGAAATGTCATTCACAGTGGGCATGACGATTTGTCAAAGCTGCCTGAACGATGAGGTGTGTAAGCAGTCACTCCCAAAAGACCAAAAGTCAAACGCCTTCGCACGGTCTTAATCCAAAGTCATTGGAGATTAGTGCGCGCGTGCTGTCAGAGAAGAGGCACCGCGCGCTCACGCCGAACACAGCGGACTGACTGATGCGCGTGAAGAGCGAGGAGAACTTGTATAGCCTACTTCCCTGATGGGAGGGGGGGGGGTTCTGCGGGGGCATTGTCGTCCAGCTGAGACCTGCGCGTTTTTATTTTGTTTTCAAGTTTAGGTTTAAACCGCATTAACAATATCATACAACGTGATACTTAAATCATGTTAGACTAGAAATTGAATGGACAACTGTAAAGTGATGACGGGTAGGTGTTCTCGCAGACGTTTCAGTTTTGACGTCACTAACGGGGAAAGCTTCATTAATATTAGGTACCTACTTTCTGTGGCAAAACTTGTTTTTGATTTAGCAAAAAAAAAAAATTTAAATAAAAAAAATAATAATAATAAGAGCGTACACTGAAAAAAATGTCAAATGTGTTGAATTTAAGCAAACAAATTAAATTTAGTAATGTTTAACTTAATTTGTTTGTTTGAATCCAGTCCAAACAAATTGTTTACAACCACTTACCTTAAAATATTTTAGAAAATTCAAGAAATCACCTTTGAATAATATATTTTTTTCAGTGTACGTCTACTATTCAAAAAATAAGTGGTTAACCATATTTTCTGTTAGTCCAAGTTTATTCAAAATATTGATTAAAAGAAAGTTTAGGTGTTACCTAATAAATATCTAATTACAACTAAAACAAAAGAAATCTCATTTAAGATACTACACAAATTTTACCCTATAAAGCATTTATTTTTAAACAGATTTATTGAAGACATGAATGTCAATTGTTCATTCTGTTCATTATACCCATCAGTACCTCATATTTTCTGGCACTGTCGGTATACAAAACTGTTATGGTGGAAAGTACAGTATCTAATATAATGATAAGTTGGAAAATGAAGCTGTTATCAATCTTTTGATTATACTTACCAAATTTATATCCATAGTTGTAAGTTTAGCAGTCAAAAATCAATTTTTTTCAGTGGTTCTTGCAATATTTTTTTCTTTTTTTGTTATTTTATTTTACCTATTGAGTTTTTGAACTTTTGTATAATTTTTTTGTGCTTTTCATATGTTTTATGTACACCTCTGGCATTGTTTTGTATGTGTCAAATATGCATTATTAAAATAAAAAATAATAAAAAAAGATTATTGGTTAGGGTATGCTTTAAGGTTGTCAGACTTGATTGTGATGAATTTAGCCTGAAAAACTTTATTTCAATCTATTTAAACTTTTTATTTTGTTTTATAGATGTCGAATTGACATTTAAACATAGATATCTTGGCTAAAACAATGCTAAACTTGGCCTGTCAGTGAAAATCTACATTTAAGAATAGCCCAAAACTAGACTAGTCGTCAAATAGACACATTAGACAGACTTTGTGTATGTAGTTATCCATATCTGATTAGTTGATGACTAGTTTAGTTTTAGCCTATTTTTAGACGTCTATTAGACAGCCCAAATTTAACCTTGTTTTAGTCAAGACTATGTTTAGACATCAATAAGACATCTTTTAACAACAAAAAGCTCGTTGGGCTGTTTGGTACAAGATCAGACAATTCTTCAATATATATAATAGCTATTTATCAAACAAACTAAAATTGGACCTGTTTATGGCTGATGAAGAGCAAACTATCCAGATACACTATCAAGTACTAAAGGGAATGTGACAATGATATTGTACATGTACTTTGAATTGTTTTGCACTACTTTTTTAAGTTTGTATAATGTAAACAGGTAGCTTGGTCACTGTTTTCATTCATTCCTTCATTTTCTTGTCGGCTTGGTCCCTTTATTAATCTGGGGTCGCCACAGCGGAATGAACTGCCAACTTATCCAGCACATTTTTTACGCAGCGGATGCCCTTCCAGCCGCAACCCATCTCTGGGAAACATCCACACACACACACACACAGACACACACACACACACACACACACACACACACACACACACACACACACACACACACAATTCACCTGTACCACATGTCTTTGGACTGTGGGGGAAACCGAAGCACCCAGAGGAAACCCACACAAACGCACGGAGAACATGCAAACTCCACACAGAAACGGTAACTAAGTCGAGGTTCGAACCAGCGACCTTCTTGCTGTGAGGCGACAGCACTACCTACTGCGCCACTGCCACAGCAAAAACAGTTGATGAGTGCATATGTGAGGGAATTAAAAAGGAACCACAGGGGGTGGTCAAGGACTGCCTTTATTTTTAAATTTTATTTTGTAAAGTTCTCTAAGGTCAACTTACATTGTTATCAAGAGTTTTACATAGAAAAAACAAAAGTAAAAGGCTATTTTCTGTGCTGTTTGAGCCCCCTCATCAGAACACACCATTTAAATAAGCGTGGTAGATTGTACACTCATTGTAATCACCCACTGTGATGACTGGCTTATAAATCTGCATATTTAAAACTTGTCAATATTTTGCTTCTAAGATAAAGTTTTGCTTCTAAGACACCGGAAGGAACAGCTGTTTGTAAATTTATGCATGCATGTTTGACAGCCTACATGCTTCATCAGGCATGTAGACAGGGGGCTTTCGGGTGGTTTGAAAGACCCACCCCTTACCAACAAAGGTCCAGAATCTGTCATGAGCTCATTTGTCTTATTTTGACTGCTATGCCATCATAAAAAGTAAAAATAACCATCGGAAAAAGGTTTTAATTCTAAGTGCAATCATCTGTTAGCTAACACTTTTGTGTGACTTCAGCTAATCAGTTTTGGCCCGCACACAATTATTTTTTTCTTGGTTCAATATCCAGCTGTGCAAGAAAACATACAACCTGATGTAAGTAAAGTCATCCTTCGCTACTGTATAGTTTTTAAATATAGAAAACATTGTACAAGTGACTTTTACTCTAAATCTTGGACCTTATTTTTGAAACTAAAAAAAAGAGAAACAAAAAGGTGTGAAGCACCAAAAACGATCTTAAAATTAATTTCAATACTATTTTGGCTATTTTTGTTAGCCATGAATTTTCAAATGTACTTATTTTGGTTATGATTACCATCTGACTTACAAATTCGCTGCTATATTAATGTAAAGTAAACTAGCTAAACCTCTACAAACTGAATTAGAAAAAAATATGTTTCATCAGAATCCTGTGACAAATCATATTTCATTGTTTTGTAGAAAATTGGTCAATGGCTCTAAAGAAACTTCAGATTCTAAGAAAGATTCATGGTGTACAGATTTACAATATGACCTGACAGATTTAGAATGGAGCCAAACTTGTGTTAAAGTCCAGAACTTGTCAATTAATACTAGATTTAAAATGATCCAATATAACTGGGCAATGCACACCTATATCACATCTGAAAAACTAAAAACATAAAGGAACATTCTTCCATTTTATCTGGGAATTTGAGATGATTTAGATTTCCTGGCAAAACGTAATCACATAAATTTCCTCAATTATTTTAAAACCGATTCCATGTTACACCTGAAATATGTGCTTTGGGTTTATTTCCTGTAAGTGTGTTATTACCAGGTCATCACATTAAAACGATTGATATATGCCTTGTTATTGCAAGGCGTTTGATAGCACTCTATTGGAAGAACATAGAAAGTTCATCCATTGACCACTGGCTGAAAGATTTGACATTACATTGCACTGGAAATAACCACCTACAGTTTTAAGGGCACATTAAAGGAATACCATAAAATTTGGCATCCGTTTATACAATTTTTGGAACATCACCATAAAATGGCACAAGCAAATACCTCTCGCGCTACTGGTTAACTGATTGACATGTGTATATGTGTATTTTTGTATGTGGAATAGAGTATATGTTTTTCTTTGTCTTAGCCCATGTATAACAATATATTTACCTGTTTAACTGAATCTGGATGCTTTGGGGGAGGGAGGGGGAAATAGTTAAAATGTAAAAAAAAAAAAGTGTATTTTATTTTCATGCAAAATTTCAAGTGTTTTTTTCTACAAAAAAAAAAGTTTATCATCTGACAATCTATTTTTAGTGCTTAAAATTAAGGATGTCCAGAAATCAAGCAAAATCACGCAGTTTCAGACTCATTCAGACCGGCAAAGTAGAACACGAAAGCAGCTTAAAGGGGAAAGTTGATGACGACAACATTGCCATAGCAAACTGTGAGATATGTAAACTTGGGATTGCCTGCCAGGTATTTTAAGTTGAGATGCTCTTTGTTCTTATATAGATTTTTTACATTTACTGTTGCACAAAAGACCAAAAGTGAAGAATTAATGTTATTTATTACTTGATAGTTCAAGCTTCCTCACAGAAGTGCTCTGTTTTGTTAACAGTGTTGTTGAATGTTAAAATAAGGTGAATTGAATAAAAAAATGGAATATACTGGATCTTTTTTTTTTCTTTTCGCTGTTCTTCTTTTTTTTTATGTATTATAAAAGTATCGGAATGTGTTTCATTATCGGTAGATACTCAAAATCAAATGACTCGGACTCAGACTTGAGGGCAAAAAAACCTGATTGGGACATCCCTACTTAAATATCACTAAAATGCAGTGTTTAAATCTAATAATTAAATAATAGCCTAAATAAGCACTATAACCGCAAAAAGGTCTACTGTTTGAGAAAAAAAGAACCACCCCTTTCAGCAGGCTGGCTACAGGCCTGTTCATAGATGGACACTGTTGTTATTTTCTGAGTACACATCCAATAAACTACTTATAAAATAGGCAAAACAATAGTGCTAACACATTAAGAACAGTTACTCATGGTGTGGTGCTGAGTTCAATATAATTGTATAATTTAAACAAAACAATGATAATATTAATGATTATGATAATTCTGGTGACTACAGTTATGATATTTTTTACCATTACATCTCTAAAAATTTTTTTGATTAATTTTATTTCATAACCCCTTCAAAAGACTACAATGACAATCTTATTGACAAAATGCTTGGAAAAAAAGTAGTGAAGTCAATAAAGTGTTAAGGGTCACACTTTACAATAAGGTTAATTGAAAATACAGTAGTTCGTTGTTAGTTCATGTTAACTCATGCTGCATTAACTAATATTAACAAGCATGGACTTGGATGTAAATAATGCATTAGTAAATGTTCAAGT